AACTTGCAGCTCAACTTGCTAAAACTTTTGAAAATGGTCCGTGGGAATATTGAGATGGGAATGCAGGGGTGCATTCTGTCCAGCCTATAGCTAGGCAGCCGGCGATGCTTGAGGCACGTGGATCGACAGCACAACGTTCATGAAGGGGCTCAGAATGAGTAGCGTCGAGGTGCGAGTGAAAGCGAGCGAGAAGGACAATACAATCAGCGGACGTCAAGGCAGGAACGGACGTGGCTCACCGAGAATGACTCGAATGGATCTCGGCTCACCTAACGTGCATCCCTCCTGCTGCGATCCAGCGATGTGTGCGGCCGCGCGCACTTCTGACACGGATGAGATGGAGATGCGGGATGAGACAACAGCGCGACTGACTGGGAGTCGAGGCATTGTGGCTGGCGTGATGGCAAGCGACCCTTGGCGACTGTGTTCCGAGATCGAGTCGAACGAACTCATTACCTTGTACGGCATGCACGCGAGAGTCTCAAACAAGCGACGATAGCATGAGGGCAGTTGACAAAGTTCGAGGAAGGCATGTCAACAGCGCAACGTGCACAGAGGCGTTCGAGGCGGGTAGCGTCGAGGGCGCGGTGACCAGGTAGGAGGAGAATGCGTATGAGGAGAGCGAGAGCGTTTGTCAGCCTACCTGTATGTATCGTCATTAGTTTGTGAATATTTATGAAAGAGAGGGGAAGGGGGGGGCCTCACCGACTTCGGTGCCAGAGCCAGAGTTGTAGAGTGGCTCACCAGAGGAGGGGCTGGTGGCGAGGGAGGCAGGTTTGGTGGGTGCGGGGTCGCCGTGCGGGGTCGCCGTAGATGGTGTAGGTGCCGGAGACGGTGTAGGAGACGCCAGAGACCTCGCCGATGGTGCCGCCAATGGTGCTCGCGGGGAGGGAGGAGATGGTGGAGGAGGTCACTGAGGACGTGACGGCTGAACACACTGCGGACGATACCGCCGTTGAGATCATAGAGGACGCGAGGCCCGAGGATATGGCTGAGGATACTGCTGCGGAAGAGATCGCAGAGAACGCGACGGCGGAAGAGATCACAGAGGACACCACCGCTGAGGAGATTGCAGAGGACGCGACACCTACTGAAATGACCGAGAAGGCCACCGCAGAGAAAATGGCCGAGGAGACCGCTGCCGAAGAGATTATAGACGACGCGGCAACCGAGAAGATAGCGACCGAGGACGCGACCGACGATGCTACAGCAGAGGACACCGCAGACGAAAGGACCAGCGTGGACGAGACTGCCACCGACGAGACAGCAGAGACCGTCCAGAGAACTCTAGGTGTGCCCAGAGGGTAAGTTGTCGCTACCTGAGCATGTCGCAGCTGGTGAGGACGAAGGCTGGGTGAGACTGGAGACGAGACATTCTGCGTTTTCCGCGTGTCGTTTGGGTTTGCAAAGCTCGTGGTGCAGGGAGCGTGTCTGACGGAGGCATGGGAGAGGAGCGAGGCGAGCTGCGCAAGCCGTCCGTTAGCGCGTTCGCGTGTCGTGGATTACTCGAGACGGGGATCGAGGAAAAGAATGCGGGTGGTAACTATATGTGCCCTGGGGCGCCGCACGATGCACTGGAAAAAAGACTCACCTAGGTGTATATGCCCTCCATTCGACCCTCGCACCTCCCCGCGCCTTTGCTAGACCGTCCAGCACCTATCATGGCGAAGCAGGACCCAGCGAATGCACGCCGGGCAGAGGATACTCTGCGCGGCCTAAATTCGCTCGTCATCCTACGTCCCGCCGTCCTCCTGTCGTGGATCTGACCACGGTCGATATGTCTTGCGTGCGTCCACGTGCTCGTGAGCTATGCTGATCGGGCGAGCGCATGGGCGGCGGATGCGGCAGGCATGCGCTATCGGCGGCGGTGCGTATACCGTGGTGTTATAG